CTAGAAGTTCCCTGGAATCAATCCCTCACCCGGACACCATCCTGCCCCCTCCGTATAGTCTAGAGCTGAGGTTTCTCTGGTTGCCACCTTTCCCCCACAAAGCTCCCCCTCTAAGATCCCCACTTCTGGGAGGCCCAGGTCTGGGACCTTCTGTTGGAGCCTCACAGGGGCTCTCCAGTCCCAGGCCTGCTGGGTCTGCTGGCAGCTGGGGGCCCTGAGCTGGAGACCTTCGTGTTGAAAGCCCAGGATCTGGGTGTGTGGGCGCGATCAACAGTCATGCGGGAAAGAAGGGAGTCAAGGATGACTCCAAGACTTTTCACCTTGTCACTGCTCCTTCTGCCCTTTCTTCCCCACAATCTGTTCTCACCACAGCATCCAGAAAGATTATTTAAAGGTGTAAGGTTCTGCCACTCCTGCTCAAAACCCCCAGCCACCATGTCATTAAAGTCCAAGTCATATAATGGCTGACAAGACAGCTGTATGACCTGCACTCCCCACCCTATTTGCTCCTCTGACTCATCTATTTACTCCTCAAATAAGCCAGTCCAGCCTCTTGCCTTGAGACCATCCAATCCTTTGCTTCCTTTGCCTAAAGTTCTTTCATGCTCAGTATCCACAGGACCAAATAAGTCTTTGCTCGAATGTTCCCCATGTGGCCCAACCTCACTCCCACTCCCAATAGTCTTTTCCAGCTCTCCTTGGTCTTTTTCCCAGAGCTCACTACCTGCTGGTATGGTCTGCAATTCTGTTTACTGTGTTTGTGTCTGTCTCGTTCCGCTACAGTGGGAATCCCACGAGGACAAGGTTTGGTCAGTTTTGCTATGTGCTGAGGCAACTGGCTAAGACCGGAGACTCTAGAAAGTCACTAGGATGAGGCAACTGCTTTGGTGGCCAGGGTCTGGACAGCAGGGGAGAGATGATCTCCATCTCCTGAGAAAGCCTCCTAATGGCTTCCAATTTTTGATGGGTTTCTTTATACCACGTTCTCAGCTTCCTGGCTTTCAACCACAATTGTTCAACTGTTGACCTGTTCTAGTATAGCCTTCCTCTGAAACTCATTTCAAATTGGATCTATCCAGGGTCTCCCTGGTGGCACAGCGGGTTGAGCGCAGTGCTGTGAAGCTGTCCGCAGCCTCTGCAGCCCAGGTTCAATTCCTGGCCAGCCAGGGAGATACCCACGTGGCGCAGCAGACCTCTCCTGCCTCGCTCACTGCTCCCCTCAGCAGTGTACTTCGGTAGTCTGCCTGTTCTGCTCCCCGCTCTGTCTCTGGTGAATCCTCTCATCCTCCCACACCTCTGGCCTGCACCCCAGCTATTGTATAAATAAAAAATAAATCTTAAAAAAAAATTGGATCTACCCAATGTGAAAGCTGGAAGGAACCAAAGAAGACATCACATACATTGTTGGTTTGGAATTAAAATTATGCTTTGGTCCAACCACTATGGAAAGCTGTCTGGAGATTCCTCAGTCTACTAAAAATGGAGCTACCATACGACCTGGCAATTCCACTACTAGGGATCTACCCAAATGACACAAAAACATTGATTCCAAAGAACACCTGTACCCCTATGTTTACTGCAACACTATTTACAATAGGTAAAACCTGGAAACAACCCAAATGCCCAAAAATAGATGACTGGATCAAGACGATGTGGCATCTATACACAATGGAATATTGTTCAGCAATCAAAAAAGATGAACTCATGCCATTCACAGCAACATGGATGGAGTTAGAAGGAATTATGCTCAGTGAAATAAGCCAGAAGGAAAAAGAAAAATATCGGATGGTTTCACTTATAGCAGGAATATAGGGGAACCAAATAAGACATCAGTGTAAAAAAATAATAACAGTGGGCCTCCCTGGTGGTGCAGCGGTTGAGCGTTCGGTTGCGAAGCTGCCCACAGCCTCTGCAGCACGGGTTCGATCCCCGGCCACCGGGTGAGGGTCCCACATGGCGCGCAGACCTCTCCTGCCGCCCGCTGCTCCCCTCAGCAGTGTATTTCCTCGGTCTGCCTGCTCTGCTCCCTGCTCTGGCTCTGGTGAATATTCTCACCCCCTCCTGCACTTCTGACTGTACCCAGTGCTTGTATAAATAAATAAATACATCTTTTAAAAATAATAATAATAATAATAACAGTACAAACCACAACAAAGCAAAAACAGACAATTGTAAACCAGAGACATCCTGCAGGGGAGGAGGCGGGAGAGGGAGGGAGGGAGGAGCACAGGGCACTGAGGTGATGGTGCACGGGTGCACTGAGGTGATGGTGCACGGGTGCATTGGGGAAGGAAATTCTATGGGGACTACACCTGAGGGGGTGGGAGAAGCAAATATTGTTTAAAAGTGAACAATGGTATAAAAAAATTTAAAAATTATTTAAAAAATTGTATTTGAGGGACTCTTTCATCCTTGACCTGGTCACTAAATAAATAGTCCTCATGTGTCCTCCCCCTGCTGACCCTTACACAAACAGTGCTGCTTAAAGCTATGGATTTAGAGAAAGGGCCCCAAACTGGGCTGAGTACCCCAGAGTACCCTAGCATCCTTGTTCTAGGAACACCCAGAACTTGTTCAAAACATTCCTCTCATCCCCCAGAAGCCCGAGCATCAATCTGAGAGTCATGGATTTAAATAAAATCACAAAGCCAGGAGGAAAGGAATCAAAACCATTTAAGTGGTCTCCACCCCCTCCCACTCTCCCCCCACATCAGCACAAATAAGGAGGCAGCAGTGTCTCCTTTGCAAAGACATAAGGAGATGACAACAGGAACCCTTAGCACCAGTCTCAGTGGGAGTTTGTTTTGCTCCTGAGACCAGGATGTGAAATGATGACAGAAAGGCTAAAGCACTGAGAATACCAAGAAACAGAAAAGCAAGCGTGTCTAGGTCCTTACGACCATGTGCTTCTTGGTTAATCCCCTTCCCTTGGCAAAGGAGTCTTTCCATTCATTCATCCCGTGGCCCTGGCTGACTCATGCCTTTCACAGCAAACCTGGGCATCAGCCTCCAGTTCCAAAGCCCCTCAGAACACTTCCCCCAGCTGCTGACGTCCATCAAGGGAGAGGAGAGGAGTCCCAAGGCCCTGTGCTTGTTGAGGGAAGAGATTGTGGATGGTGGTGTGCAGATTAAAGAAAGAGAACTTGGCTGCATCCAAGACCCCTAAAGTGTCTCCACTGTCCCTCAGAATCAGCACATTGGAAGGCAGACTGGGGGGAGGGGGCGCGAAGGCGCCACAGCAGCTACACTTCTGCCTCCCCTTTCCTCACAAGCACCCCTGTGAAAAACCAAGGGCTGCAGACACTCTGCTCCCTGGTCTGTCTCTGCATCCAAGACCTCCCGCCCACCCCAGGCTGCCCACACTTAGTGCAGAGGCAGGCTCAGACCCAAACACTGCCAGGAAAATGAAACTGGGAAACCACTTCGCCAGCTGCTCCTGCCACTGCTCCACTTTCTTCCCCTTCTCCAGCGCAGTGATTCTGTGCGACAACTGCTGCCTCTTCCTGCCATTCTTGCTAATTCCCAGGCCAGTCTTAACCCAATGCCAGAGAGGCTTGGGGAAAGCTGCTCACCACCCAATCTTCCTGCCACGTGAGAGGCTAAGCTGGCTTCCAGGTTCCACAGAGTCCCAAAGCCCCACTTAGCCTCCAGGCTGCCCCTCCCCCCAGCCCCATCGCTCCACCCAAGCCCCTGAAGGGAGAGTGCTGGGGTCTCAATTCCCTAGAACATGTGCGTTGGGAGGTGGGAGACTCTCTCCTTCCTTCACAAGGCAGCTGAGCAAAGTCCTGTCGCTTCAGGCTGCTGGCCAGAAATTGCTAGGGTGAGAAGACTTATTAGCTCATTCCCACTCCCTCTGGAAAAATACAGGTTAACCTCCAACCTCAGGGCCAATCCCCAGTTGCCACAAACCTAAGAGCACGAGTCTATGAGCTTGGAGCATCTCCCTGTGTCTCCCTAGCTCTCCTCTCTCCACTCAGTGTGTATGCTTTCTCTCCCCAGACCGCAGAGACGCTGAACTTGATGCCTTTGGAGCCTCCAGCTGCCCTGCAAAAGGGGGGGTGTGGCATTAAGTCACCTCCCTTCCCTGTGGCCTGTTCCTCTCAGCTTTTCCCCTGGTGACCCACCTCTGCCCCACCCCCACCTTCCTCTGGCCCAGGCTGCATTTCACTTCACAAGTACACAGGGAGCCCAAACCCTCCCACACTTTACCAACATCGACAAGAAGCCGGCCCTAACCTGCTGCCCAATCAGAACATTCCAGGACCTGGGAAATCCCTCTGGGGCTCCCCACAGAGACCTGACAGTGTCTGAAAGTGAGCTGGTGGAGGCAAAATCACCACCACTATTGTGGGGGTATCTGAGTTCCCTGGGGGTTGGAATGGAGGGGAGTGAGGAGCCAACAAACATCTGGTAAAGAGTTAAGAGTTTCACACACACACACATGCGCGCGCCACGTTTCCAGTGGGACATTTTTTAAGGAAGACTACCCTGTGGGGGAGGGTAACGATGGCTCAGGGAATGTCACAATCCAGCAAAGAGGCAGGTGGGGGTCTCAGGGCCAAGGCTGAGGAGTCTCAAGATCACTGGGCAGTTTGGTATCACCATCATCACCAACATATCACCATTTATTAGCTCTTTATGCACATTACCTCTACCCCTTACAACAACCTTGAAAGGCAGGTGTTACTATCGCAGCAGGAGGCTCAGGGGGCGGAAGTCACCTGCCCAGGATTACACAGATAGTAAGTAGCAGAGCCAGAATCTGGACTCCGATCTATCTGGCTCCAGCCTATAGTCATATTTCTCGGACACCACGCCATAAGAGAAAGACCCCGGGAAAGTCACGTCATCTGTCTAGGTCTCAGTCTCCTGCAGTGTCCTTAACGACTTCTAACAGTCCTTCCAACTCCAGCATTCTACGCGGTTATGCCCTCCCCAGAGGGCAGCAGGAGATGGAGCCAGCCTCCTTCTGGGGTGGGGGATGGCGTGGTGGCTCTCACCTCCCCCATTTTTGTAGCAGAGATAGGGAAACCTCCAGACGTTGCCTAGGCCAATGATCTCCCCGGCCACTGACAGCACAAACTCCATCTTGTTGTTCCAGTGCCCCCGCTCCAGAGTAGCATCTTCCTCTGCCCTTGCCACGATCGGGTATGCTGGTTTTGTCTCTCCATTACTGGCTGTACCCGAGACCCTGCTATCCATCCCACCTGGAAAACAAGCAGGGTGCTCTGTTACTACTGGGGACCTCAGAAGGAATACCTTGCCCCTTCCTTCACCAGCAAAGTCCCAGAGGAATAAATGCCCTGAAGAGGTCTGTATACCGTGAGCACCTCTTGTTGGTAATGACTGGGTAACAGGTGCTGAGAATATATATTCCTTTCCTGTTTCAGAAAGAAAGCATTGATGTTTATTTTGTTGCTTCCAAACAGATGTTGCTTCCACTCCACAGGACGCTTGGATTCGAGCTTGTGGACATGGAATAATTGACACAGGCCTTGGGGTGTCTAGCTTCTCCCTGCCACCCTACACCCAGGCCTGTCTACATAGCACCTGCTTCGCTGTCTCTCTTCTCTGTATGGGGGACAGTTGAAAGGGATTTTTGTATATCCTCAAAGCCACCAATTTTCTTTGCAGGCATGTACTCTAAGGAAATAACTGTGTGACCGTGGGTAAAGATTTGCCATTGAGGATGTCTTTTTTTTTTTTTTTGTGGCACGCTCGCTGGTGGCCGGGGATCGAACCAGCGCTGCAGAGGCTGTGGGCAGCCTCGTAACCCAGCACTCAACCACTGCACCACCAGGGGAGGCCCTGGATGTCCGTTTTTAATAACAGCAAAAAATGAGAAAGTATATAACTATTCAAAAATTGTAGATAGGCTAATAAGTTATGGCAGATACATACAACGGGCTACTCTATAATCATTAAAAATCGTTTTGCAGAAAGTAATGAGGTGAGAAGGTGTTCGCTATTTGTGAAGTGAAAATCATCCTAAAACAGCACATACAGTATGGGTATGCTCGAAAAAATATTTTATCAAGTATTGATAGGCCCTGAAAAATTATCTTCCAAAATATTCCTTACACAATGGCTAGACGATAGGAATATTTTCCTTATCTATATTTAATACATTTTAATCAAAGAACAAGTTTTATTTTTGATTTACAAAAATAAAAAGCAGCTAAAAAAAAAACCTTCCCAAATAATGAGAGAGGTCGACTGGGACAAGGAACCCTAAATAAGACGAGTTGATTTTCCATTTCTTCATCTCTCTCTGAAATCAACATAAGACAAACTACAGGCTCCTTTTCCTTTCTGGTAATGACAAATGCAGGAATCTGCTCCAGTAGAGAAGACCACCTAAAACGAGTTTTAAAAACCACATTCCCAAACCCTGCTGGAAACACTCCACTCCAGCCCCTTATTGGGACGGAGAATGAACCTGGGTGTGGCGCACGTGTAGGAAGCAGCTACTGTAAAGTTCGCCCTTTCCAGACATTTATTTCATTCATTCCACCTAACAGCCTGGGAGGACAACAGCCTTTCCTCCACTTGATAAACAGGGAAGCTGCCCCTCAGAGAGGTTAAATAACATGACTGCTCCATCTAGCAAATTGCACAGCCAGGACTTAAACTCACTCTTTCAACTACATCCTTTCAATTACGCTGGCTGCCTTAGTTGATCACAGTGTTGAAGATAAGCGTCTATCATGACTCTCTCCCCCCAGTGCATCAGGGCTCCCTTTACTGGAGAATCAGGAAGATGATTTTTCTCCTGCGCCTCAAGAAAAGTTCATGTATGAGAACTTTGTCAGTGGGTCCCCTTTCTGGCCACATCCTGTGACTCCGCCTCCTCCAGTGGCTACTTAAGAGAGGCAGAGAGCTACTGAGAAGCTCAGGGAACAATAGGCATCTTTATTTGATAAATTAGGGAGTGGGCCCCAAAGACTATTTGTGGGCCAAGAAGGAGAAACCCAGCATGGGGTCCTTAGGAGTTAGCTCAGTCCTTTCAAGAAGCTTGTCTAGTATGGGGGCCAGTCTGGACTCCCTTTATCACCTGATAGCTGTCTCCCAATTATGGCAAGTCATCTCCCTTCACTTCTTCATACTCCCAGGCCCTGGAAGAAACAGTCCTATTACTGAGAAGCTCAGGGAACAATTCTTTATTTGATAAATTAGGGAGTGGGCCCCAAAGACTATTTGTGGGCCAAGAAGGAGAAACCCAGCATGGGGTCCTTAGGAGTTAGCTCAGTCCTTTCAAGAAGCTTGTCTAGTATGGAGGCCAGTCTGGACTCCCTTTATCACCTGATAGCTGTCTCCCAATTATGGCAAGTCATCTCCCTTCACTTCTTCATACTCCCAGGCCCTGGAAGAAACAGTCCTATTCTGTGTGCCCTGTGCCTCATTTGGACACCGCTTTCTCAGAGGTGGCACTGTTGAAAGAACAGAGCTATAGGGTCACACAAGGCGGGGTTCAAGTCTTCGCTAGTGCCCCCATCACTCACTGACTTCAGGGAAGTTAATCAATTACACTGTCTTTGTTTGCTTAGCTCCAAGAATGAAACGAGGAGATATATATGTATCTATGACAGCACTTAGTAGAGTCACAGGCACACGAATGTTCATTTTCTTTCGATCCTGTTAAAGTGTCTGTGTTCAGACACTTCAGAGAAGAAAGCCTTCATTTCTTGGAGTTAAACCTCGTTGTTTTTTCTCTCGATCTAGAATCCCCTTTCTTCAAATCACATTGTGCCTTAAATAAACTGTCACTAAAATTTCACAAAGTTAAGGAAACAGCTTATCTAGTCTAGCCATGTGCACACATAAATGTCAGAAACATATTTTCTAGGAAAGGATCCCCCAAATCCTTTGACTGTAAGTCCCATGGAACCCACCGACCAGCTTTGAGACCCAGAAATGGGGGGGGGAGATGAAAATGTTACCAACCTTAGTAAAATTGCTGCCAGAGGTCCAGTGGGGAGGGGAGGGAGGTGAGAATTATCTGAGGGGCAAGGGGAAGGTGCGGGCTATTTAAAGTGTGATTCCAGATCCTCTGTGGCACTTGTAATTCTAAACTCAGCCCGGCCCACATTCCGCCCTCCTGCCCTCCTCCGCTGCCTCCCCTCCCCTCGGCACCAGACTACTAGCAAGCACACTGGAGCATTTCACAGCCCGAGGAGTGAGGAGCGTGTGCTCACCGGGTAGGTCAGGACAGTTGCTGGTGATTTTATGGGCCTCTTGCTGTCCTCTCTGCAGCTCACGTGCTTGTCCTTCTTGGTGACCTCGGGGTCTCTCTAGAGGATCCTACCTTCCACCTTTCTCCAGCTCAAGTGCTCCCATAAATCTATCAAGAAGAGGTGTTTCTTTGGTCAGGTGCTGCAGAGATTAAGATTGCCTTTATCGTACCCTTCTGCAGCTGACGATTTCCAGTGGACAGTGAGTTAAAATAAAGATACACATAGAATTCTGAAAAGTGAAAAACTGCCTAAACACACACACACACACACACACACACACACACACACACTTATATACAAGTAGAAAAATCTGGGGAAGTATTCACAAAATGGTTAATAGTAGTTACATTCAGAGAGAAGGGGTGAGGGGTCAGGACAAGGAGCAAGGGATATTTTTTAAGTCCATTTTTTAAGCTGCCTTATCATTTGAGATTTTATTTTATTTTATTATTATTTTTTAAAGATTTATTTTTTTATTTATGTATATAAGCACTGGGTACAGTCAGAAGCGCTGGAGGGTGAGAGAATTCACCAGAGCCAGAGCGGGGAGCAGAACAGGCAGAAGGACCAAAGTCCACTGCTGAGGGGAGCAGCGGGCGGCAGGAGAGGTCTGTGCGCCATGTGGGACCCTCCCGGTGGCCGGGAATCGAACAGGTGCTGCAGAGGCCGCGGGCAGCTTTGCAGCCCAGCGCTCAATGCTCAACCGCTGAGCCACCAGGGGAGGCCCCAGGGACGTTTTCTTGAAGGGGGTGGGATTGAGAGACTACTGAGTAAGACTGAGTCAGTGGCGGGGAGGGTGTGGAGTGGATGGCTGGATGGGACAATAAAATGTGCCGAAGAACGCAGAAGAGTGGGAAAAAAAGGTAAATCAGAGATTTTAAGGCAGTTCTATTTCTCTCACTCCTCATCCTCTTCTAGGGCATGTCAGCAGGGGAAGAGAATCAAATCCATGCCCAGGGCGGGGAACCTGGTGGAGATTATTGTTTTTATGTTTCAGACACATCTTTCCTCAGCCTTTCATCCATCTATTTAGTCTGTGTAAAGCGGTCAACCGAAAAAGATCCTGTGAGAGAGATGACAAACTCGTACCAAAGCCCGGATGGAGGGCCCAGCACGACCTTGACCAGGCAGGCCACAGCCACCTCACTGATTCAGCAGAAACAGTCATCAACATCCTTCACCCCGGGAAGGCAGCAGCACCTAAGACAGGAATCTGGGGGAAATGTTCAAAGCCACTTGTGGTGTCACCTTCGCTTCTGGGTTCAGAATCCATTTTGGAGGTGGCAAGACAACTGGCTTTGGCAGGATTTACGATTCCTTGGATGATGCAAAAAGAAATGAACCCAGACACAGACTTGCCAGACACGGTCTGTAGGAGAAGACAAACACCTCAGAAAACAGCCAGAGCAACGCAAGAGCAGGATGAAGAGAGTCAGGGGACCGCGAAGGCCAGGGCTGGCGCTGCGAAAAGGAGAAGGAAAGATTCTGCAGGGACTTCATCTGTGGTGATTGTGCAGATTTTCCATGAGAGGAATAATAAAACCTTTTATGTGTCTGGCTGTTTGAAGAAAAAAAGAGCCCATCTTCAAAGGCGAGGCTGTTAACTTCCATTTTTTGCTTATTATTGAGTAGTACTTACTAATCGTGTATTAATTAAGCTACTTAGCATTGGAAACACTGGCATTCGTAACCTAAATTTACCTGATAACTGGAGTCTACTGAGGAGTCAAATTCCAGGTAGTCTACTTCTGTTGGCAACCTTGCCCAGCCCTTTCTGTCTCCTCACACACTAAACACTTGGAATCCCAGTTTCTGGGCAAGACTTTTGGTGATCAGGCCCTCGCCAGGATCATCCTGAGTTAGTTTTGAGTTGCTCTTCTTATATTAAGGGATATTTGGTCTGACTTGTTGGTAACATTTGCTTTTACAAACTTGCTGCCACGTTGCTCTTTCATTCCTCTTCAAATCTTCGT